TTTAGCAAGTGACGGCATACTGTGTCAAACAAAGTGATCTGTGATCACTTTGACAGTCGTTCGAATGCTTGGATGCGAAATCTCAGAAAAGTTATCAAAAACGACTCGGCAGTATCACTGAGAAACGAAGGGCTTATTACCCTTAGACTTATGACAGTGAACTTTGGTGTCCGAGTTAAGAATTGACAGAAGAATAAGTTTGTTTAAGTGTTCGAACTCACCCGCGCAGACCCTGGATCTGTCTCCTGATGAGCTGTGACACAGCGAACCATCACACGGTGAGTTATGGAGGTCAAATTGATAATGACCGTTATAGCCCAACTGATCAACATACAGAGGTCTGGCTCCATAAAGTTTACATAGTGGACGTTTATACTATGAAACATTGATCCAGGTAGACAAGTGGTCAACTTTGGAGATCTTACTGTAGTTGTTTGGCTGAACTGAACTGTATTTAAAGATCAATGTTGTCGATAATTCTTCATCAGGATAGTACAATTATATGCCAATTACATGGGTTAGACAGACTACTGAGTCGTTACAACGGGGTACAATCAGTATACGAAAGGTCTACCATCGCTAATAATCAGGTCAATGTCGTAGTCTTCACACGATCCAACTGAGTAAAAATCACCACTCCATCGGGCCAGGGCAGTTGTAAGGCTCGAACAAATCGCTTTTGAGTGCACAACTTTGGTTCGTACAACCGGATTGCTATAGCTTCAGCGGCTCCTAGCATCCGTCCGCGCATATACTTCGATCGATTATCCGGGGTGTTGTAGATAATTTGGAATGCTTCGGCTGACCTAGGATTGTGGCCTGTGTCGGCAAGGTGGGCAGCTATGGCTGAGTTACATACCCCTCTGCATCCAGTCACTAGCCAAGTCTGACGGTGTTCTTTCATTCTTTCGGATAGGCACCTATTAGTACGATCAATGTATCCTGAACCACGGGAACAGGTAAATGTATGTCGTAGTGAGATGCATCGTTAGTCTGACGCTTTGTGGCCACCAACATCAAACGACTTTTTATTGCTCTGTCCAACATAGGATGACAAGATGCTGTGTTTTAGAGATAATGTCGTTCCATCCTCATCGATCTTGAAGTGTATGGGAGGACGCACTTCCAGACTGTGAGATACAGTATGAATAAATAAGTAGATATTTTATTCTCGAATGCATCTATGCACACTAAATAAGACATGATCAAAATTGTACAGGCAGATATGTGTCCCAACAGGCACGTTGGGTTGCATGCAGTGGAAAGATGGCTGAAATGTATTGAATTAGAAGAAATTAGAAAACTATCGGTGAGAATAAAATTTACAGAAGAGTAGTAGAGGGAGTTGAATGGTATAGGTAGAACTTCGTCACATCTAGACTCACTCAGACAGCCGCCACACGCTCGGACAAGCCCTGGACGCGCGTTTCCTCCTTTTGGGAATCGTCACCCGTGTGTATTCCATCGGACCCTGGTAGGGCACGAACCCACAGCTCGACTGTTGCCAGTCCGTGGTTGATATCACTGAGCTACGGGGCCGGCAACCACCATCGTGAATAAGTTACTAGATGTGATATAGCGTCGCTCACTATCCACTGACTTACACGTTACTGCCGTGCAGAAGACAGGATAACCCCCTCACCAATCGACGAGGTTACCAAACTTAAGCCGCCAATTAACTTATGGCATTATAAGCAGTTTGGTCTGCGTACTGATTACAGAAGAGTATTAGGGGGAGTTGAATGGTATAGGTAGCTCATTGGTCTCAACCACGGACTGGTAACAGTCGAGTTGGGGGTTCGAGCCCTACCAGGGTCCGATGGAATACGCACTGCTGACGATTGCCGAAAGGATGAGAACAAAATTGTTTGTGCTGTGGTGATAGACTGGGCGAATGTGTGTGTACTGCAGAGACCTAACGTGCAAGCGTAACAAGTGTAGTGGTGACGGAATGTGCAGACATGGTAGTATCTTGAAGTGTACATATAACTAATAGTTAGATGTGGCTCTGGTCAACTAGCCCGTGTGGAGTTGTGGGCTGTGACTTTTTTCAGTGACGAATCCCATCAGGCGCTTCTCAGTGTTGTTAAACGGCCATATGTGGCTTTTTATAAGGTGAACGCTTGTCAGACGAAAACCCACCATGTCCTGGAACACTGCCATCAAACATTTTGTACAGTGATGTAAAATGGCAAGGAGTGTTTGAGATCGTCAGGGTTAGGGATAATTTATGGAAATGTTTGATTCCTGTGGTAGCGCTCACAGTGGAGGCATTGATCTAGGTAACGGAAGAATATTGTGAAAGGGATTTATCGCATTGCCATTGTAGACATGCATTCGAGGTACTCGTTAAGAATTATCGAGGCTGCAGTGAGAATAGAGCGGTCACATTTGTTTTCCGTTGTTTCGATCGTGCATGAAGTTGTCCAGTTATCCATACTGGGCTTGTGTCTGCTAGATGATCATTGCATATGGGTACCGATATGAGTAGCGACATTGCTATTTTTCAGGCGTATTAAAAGCGGTTGACACAACCGAATGCTGATCGCCTCGGCAGTAGCAAGGGTGCGGAGGCGCAGGCCTTTCGACTGGAGTGGAGGGACCCTGTTCAGTATGCGAAAGGCACTGACTGGGTCAACCTCATGCCCACTATCAACAAGATGAGCCATAACTGAGCTAGTTATAGCTCCAGTACCGCCTCGACGCAACCAGCGTGTTAGGTGCTCCTTAACGCGTTTCGACAGTTGCCGCGCCGTTCCACCGACGTTGCAGCGACTAACGGACAAGTGAACATCAGTGTGTATGAGGCTGAAACACAACACTGTGTACCAATTGAGTCATCCTAATTGGAGTAGAAGAGAGCTAGGGAGTGTTAATTTAACTAAAAGCCGGTGGAATGCCAGGGTGTAAAAACATACAGTGAAACTGTTGAAGAAGTCAGGGAAAATGAAGCTAAAGCGCGGCGGCGCGCAGAGTGTTAAGTTTTCGTAGCGTGTTAGGCAAAGAGAGCTAATGCTAACTGAGCTAGGGAAATCCACTGATAGATCTGGACTGCTGTATAAGGCAAACCATCAACACTTTAAACTGGAAATTCACAGATCATTTTCTGTGCATAGTCTAGTAATCACAGTACTGCATTACTTCAACAGTACTTCCGCACGTGTCCCCAGGGCTGATTACTTCATTATTACGAAATTTCAGATGTACCCACGAATCATTGTCCCCAAACGCCTTCCTAACAGTTTCAACATCACGACGATTGCCTTCAGCTTGACCAAGGTAGCGTTCGTTACTGAAGGCTGAGTACCAGGGTCGCCTGTCAGTCAGATCAGATCGAGTACATGTCGGGTTACTACCCATCTGACTACCAAAACTACTAGGTCTTCTTTCTCCTTATTGTTCTTAGCCATCAACCGGTGAGAGCCGGTCGACAGCTATCCTATCCTATTAAACGGAATGTTTGGTTCTTCTGAGCTTAAACCTCACTGGAATCCGCTACGGATGTTCGCTAAGGCTCATGTTTTTTCCGTCTCTCCCTAATGTAAATTTAGCTAGGCGCATCGATACCTCTCCTCCTACACTCCGTCTGCTCGACCCCTGATCGTCTAGAGGTCTTCTTTATTTTGTAGTCGTATCCAAGTAAATGCGGATTTCATGCACCATTATTCAGCGGTCTTAACAGATTAACGGTGTATGGTAACAAGATTTGATTTCTCAGCATTTCAAAAAAACAAAGTGTCAAAAATAGCCCTGTAAATCGCTAAACAGTATTCCAATGCGAGTAGTAACGGCCGAATTCGAGACCCCTGCTTCAAGTTTATTCAGATTGTCGACAAATAGCTTTTTGGTGGCAAATCACCCTTCCCACTGGTGTCGAAATTCCATCTTGGTCACTGATTTTTGTTCCCACACGCTCCCGTATCACGAACTGTTACAAACCAAGTCCAAAGAAACAACAAGTCTGTAACTACTCGACAGAATATCTGCACTAATATTTTACATGTTAGTGCATAATCTCTCGATCGGTCTACAGCGTTTGAAGAATCCCTACACTGATTTGTCCAAACTGAAAGGAGCATCTTCAGCGAAGGTGGAAGGTTGGTGGGTTGTTTGCCAACCCATTGCTGATTTGTATACTCGTTCCTAGTGACTGTTCTTACATTGGTACTCCGGTTTAGTGGATCCGCAGCTTATCTCAGTTACGTTACCCCAGCAACACTACCGAAGCTCTGTTTCCTAAGCTAACGTCTCTTACCTTTCAGATCAGACTGTTTTGCATGCTACCGCTTGCTAGTCAGAATTCATTTTCAATGTCCTTTCAAGACTGATTTATCTGTGACTTAAAGTCTCTTATGTTTCTGGAGGATGAAAAGCCATAGGGGAGCAGTCTCATTTATTCCGCCTTATCTTCACCCGATATCCAGCTGTTTGTGACCGTATGGTGTTGCAAAGTTGTAGACATTCTCCCTAATTGTTTATCCCGATACAGTTGACTTTTGCCTTAAAACTTCTTATTGTCTCTTATCATTTTTATTTGTATGGCCATTATACTTGTACAAGAAATTTGTGTTCCTATTGCATAGCATCCTAGGCAATTGTGTTGTGACTGACGGCCGGAAACCGTCGTGGTCGATTATGTACGACAGCACAACTCATCTCCAATCGACATACCTTTTACCACCGTGCAGAGAACAGTGTTGATTCACAAAATTACAACTTTCTTCATCATCTGCTTTGTGACATGACAGTGAAACTCTATTAACTAATGGTGCACATACATGAACATTGTCCGATTTCACTCACCCGTTTTCGGGATTTGTAATGCCTATTCGACCAAATGTTGTAGATGGTCCTTTACCGCCCCCTATCAATTAACACTAATTAGGAGTCTACATTTGACGCATCTCCATGTACTTCGTTTGACATATGCGCCTTTTTTCTTTCCTCATTTTTATGGACCTCTTATCTTCTCCCCCCCCTCCTTCACTCGTTTTCCACAGGAACTGAACTGGGAGCACCTCAGTTTGGTCAATATTGGCCTCACGAAAGACACTGTTCGAAAACTTAGAGACAATCAACCTGACTCATCATCCGAACGATCCTCTTTGGAGACTTAGTGTCCTGTTACTTTTTCTTCGGATTGAATCGTTTAAGCAATTAACACTCTCATCTCGTCGTACTTTTGTTTTCGTCTTTCGATATCATTTCAGTGAAGCGGCGCGCTCGACGCGCGTACTCTGTCTGCGTTTATGAATAAATTGCGTTACTGACATTTTGATAGTAGTCTGAATTATTGACAACAAATGGTAATCTATCATGAATACTACCTAGCTTGCTATCTCCTGCTCACTGCCGTTGCGATGTATCAGTAGTCATCAAACCATGCACCACACGAGTGTACATTTTTTTCGTCAATACATGGTTTCCTATGCTTAACTAACTCGTGTCAATCTACCCGTTCCCAAACTATACCTTCGTTATCTCTCGTGTATAATATTGTGGGACCACATTTCATGTTACGCGCTCAATCTTCTTAGCGAAGAATGTATGCAAACACATGCATTTCTTATCTTTCATGTTAGTTCTCCATCCCCTACCACAACGAGATGCCTGCTATCGATTCAGGTTAGATCATCTGTGCTTCCCCTTATGTAATCGTCATTCGTTTAACAGTATCGTAGCCAATTTATCTGGACATGAGTCATCTGGTACCGATTTTAGGTGTCATATCTACGAACCGCTTCGTTTGTTTTGGAGCCAAGTTGAATAAATCTGTAATCCATCTGTTAATCATTTTGCATATCATGGAAATTATGCCATCATTCGCACGAAAATCAATATCCTACACACTCATTCAAAAAGCAATTTCAGCCACACTGTTGAGTGCCTCCATTAGTAGACCATTTGCGGCTGAACCTCGAGGCTGCGTCCGCATCGATGATCTAATGCCACAGATCCTTTTCCTGGAATTACAAAGGCAGCAGTTTCAGTCGCCAAAGCACAATCAGCATCTTTGTTCAGATCGCTGGTGTGTGTAGGTTACCCATTATTAGCTTATAGGACGTGTATATTATTCGATTTTGTACTGGCTACTGTAATCTTAAAAAGTAATATGCTTAGGCCACATTAGTTACGCTCGGGCCATGTACTCCGTACTTCCTTCGCACATTTAAGTCTCCAAGTGGCTTAATAGCCTGGTATTCGGACAGTGGCGTTCTTTCCGCCCATCCTGACTCCAGTCTCTCACTCCAACTGTCTCCAAATCAGCTATAACTTCAGGTGAATTAGTCCATTCACAGATCAATTAATATTACTCATTCCTATAGGACGGGTACCAATCATCTCGACTGGTGTGATGCAATCACCGGCGGTTAAACTATGCCCCTATACTGGAGAATTTTTGTTAAATGTAAGGCCGATACACTTCGTCAAATGGTATGATGGACTATGTACCTGTCTTTCCTTTGTACGTACACTGGCATATGCAATATATCTTCATCTCCGTTGCTAATTTTGCTAGCCACGTCTCCAACTGCAGCACCCAGTGCGCCGAGTTGTTCTTGCTTTTGAAGCATCACATCTGGTCACTATTACCACTGTATCGGTCGTCAAGTGCTGTTTTCATCATCCTACGGACGAATGGCTATGCGGCGATGCTACCAATTTCCCAGGTCATAAAGTATCTGCCTTGAGTGGTGGTTTTTTTGCTTGGCAGCCGGTCTTTCTTTGCTCACGCAGTATCACATTTCTGCACGGATTATTGCTGCAGACTGTTATTTGGGTCAGTTCCAGCGACTGCGTCCGACGGTCTTCATGGTAAGCGGCCTGGTTTACCAGAACACGAGGGTAGAGACTGCGGAAATTCGGGTGGATGGTATGTTTGGGAGGATTTCACGGAAGCAATCACGATGTAACGGCCAAATCAAATTATGGGCGCCTTTGCTAATCGAGTTGAAATTCGATATGTAATTTGCCTGCCTTGCCGCATACGGCTGTGTGTCTCGTCTAGCTTGTTGGTGCTCCGTTAATTAACTTGGGAACAGCGATTGATTGATAAAGATTTATACGCTTCTGAAAACAATTCGACTAATTAGAATGCAGTCGCATGGCGTCTTCGCCTCGATTGGACTTTAGCTACTTAATCGAACGGCTTAGGATGGCTTTTTGCATCTGGTGACACTGCTGCTCAGGTGCATATTCTCGTATATCTTGATTATCTCTCCATCATTAGTTGCAGAAAACCCCAAGCGGGTCGTTTCCCTGATCTGCTTGCGTTTAGGAGTCGCGGACTTTCGCAACGAGACCGGGCCTTACCGTATTTTATGTGTCTCGATTAGCGCAGAGCACAACTGTCACCTATTGTCTCCGACGGTGGGGCGACACTATCAGTTGCTCAATAGTGTAGTACCCGCCCGCCTCAAGCAGAGTCGCCCTTGATCGAACGGGTGCAATCCCACCAACTCGCAGCTGCGATTGGCTGTGGTCGAAATGAGTAATTTTGTGATTAAAAACTAGTTTTGAATTAATCCTAATCCCTAGAGACTGTGTATGTTCAGTTTCAGACCGATCCCAGTGTAGCTCTGCACTCGTTCTAAAGCTCGACTTCCTGTTCACTACCTTGTGAGTTAGGCTACTAAGTCAAAGTCTAAAGGTGTAGTACCTCAGCCAAAGTCTCTCTTTGCAATGAGCAGACGGAGAGGATCACCCAGTCACAAGACATTTTCGCCAGCAGATTTTCCCTCTACCTCTCTTCCGTACCCTTTTCTCAATGCTTTTCTCGTGCCTGCTTGCACCAACTATGCTATCAGGCAGACTGAAAGATCTTACAAGCTTCGATTGCTATTGCACACTGTTTCTTTCAATATTCGGACCCTTTGTCAGATCGGCAAACAAACGATGCTGTATTTCTACGCCCCCTCGGTATTTACTCTATCTTCTACAATTACGTGCATGACAACAGCGTCCCACTTAATCTACGCTTATCGGACTCGTGTTCCAGTGATTTGTCTCACACACTTCGCGTCTCCGGTTATCCTGAGCCAAAGAATTCAATTTTCATAGTGTCGGAATTGCTTTCATTAGATGCATCGAGACATATCTTCTAGATGACTGGTCGCCAGTGGATAGTCGCATATGTGACATACCGCTCTGATGTTCCATCGGAGTCGACAGGTAGCGGCCCAAAACAGAGTGTCTTTATTGGTTCAGATTACGCTCCCACTAACTGCAGATCGGAGGTTGCCAAAGATGAATATTGTCAGACGTTGTCCTTAATTTGGATGTGGTGATCACTGCGGCATACTTGAACACGTAAACCAGTTTTTTGTCAAATTAAATGCATCGTCTCGCATGCCGTTTCGGTCTGTGTTTGTTTTAATAACGGCAGTGCCCACTTTCTCCAACTGCGCGTTAAATACAACTATATTAATGGCACAGCTTTCCAGCACAAGAAGCGTTCGAATCGCATTACATGGCGACCGCCGAACCACAATCTTCCTTAGACTCCGGTTGTTTATACTGTGGCGCACAGTAGCGTAACTTTGTCGGTCGATCTGGAGTACTTGTTTCGATTCCAACCACGCCCATGTGTCTGTTATTCCTGCTTCGGCTACCTTCTCATCTTCGAAGTTTCTCACTCGCAGTCTGTGGAACAGCAGTATTAATTCGAATCACAATCTCAATTGTCACGGATAAATGAGATAGGCGAACTGAAAGCCAATTAGAATCGCCCTCAATGTGCAATTCAGAGAGCACTCGAAATCGCTTGTCAGCCCAGGCGTCCGAATGATGGATGAATTCTGAGGTCTCCATTAGCCTTGTTAAACCACGAAAGACGATTCCAGGGTGCTCGTTTCACTGAGTTGTCCTCGTAGTCGGTGTCTGCGATTCAACTGGGAGCGCTGGTGAATTGGTAGATCTGGCTAGTTGCGAAGGACCAGTGTTATCGGGAACATCAAAGTGAAACAATAGCTGAAAAAGATTTGCAACTGCTACACTTTCCGTCCAACTGATTAGAACGCTCGGCTGAGCACTTTGAAGGACAATTCAGCCGGCTTTGTGCATTAGTACGGCTGACTGGATCACCTGAATCCATCTGGGACGTTGGTGTAGCAGGTCCCACCATCGACAATATCCGACATGTACTGGCACTACTGGAACGGAATAGGGTAGTTAACCCAGACTACCTTCTACCAGTACTGGCGGAGGGCGGTGGCTCGGTCTCTTAACCTTCCTCTCCCACCTCATTTGGTACGAGGACTTGCCGGCACAGTCCCTTCTGACGTGACAATACCTTGCTGTTTAAACGCCTTGGTATCTCCGACGTCTGGCTGCATAGAGCAGTTCAGCTCCAACTCATTCTTACCATGCATCTTCATTGCTGCCGTGCAACCGTTCTCCACCTCTTGACTCAACCTAATATCTCAGTCGAAAGGTTGCTGATTGTGCTTGCAAGTCTTCGCTTACCAATTTTGCTTACTAGGTAGAGTTAATCGCCGTAGCCCGTTATTCCCCTGAGACTCGTCTTTTGACGTTTTTTCGCTCTCACGCTTCCGTTTCACTTGATTCTCTCCTCACTCAAGTATCCTATTCATCATGCTGAACGGATCGCTAATGATCACCTAGGTAATAATTCCAATATCTTGCATGCTTTGAATGCTAGGCGCAGCCGTTTTGTTTATGATTTTTTCATTTGTGTTTCCAATGTGGATCCGTTTGTGTATTTGTTTATCCGTCCCTTGCTCGCTTTTCGCCTTCCCGAGCTCTTCACATTGATGATAAGTGTCACCCGAAGGATCGCTCATGGCACATGTTTGTTGGGCTCCGGCCTTCAACTCCGAGCCAGTTTGATACTCTCGATCGATATGAATCACTCACATGGTTACGGTGGTGGTCAACCATCATTCCCACCTTCAAAAAGGGATAAAACATTTCACATGTAATTCATTGCATCATTCTTAGCTATGTTGCTTTTGAACTAATGTCACCGTATCATACTGCGGCTATGCACTGATTCTCGTGGATACTGAATACTGAGAATAGGGAACGAGAAGATAAAAAAACCTATGTTACTCCATCGTAGGTGGATCGGACACATGCGTGGAATCACGTCGCTGATTCCTGCGCGGTGACAGCATATTGCAGCTGCACTACGTCTTATCCGGGTGCGATACGCTCCCTATACCAGTAGTCCGCAAAATGGGCATCAAGGAATCTCTTACATTCCGACACCGGTTTCGACTCGACTGGCGTCTCCGACAATTTGTTCCGATATTTCATCACTCGATGCATATAGGATGAGCGATATGCTTTAAATCCGGTACCGGTGTCAGCGTGTGCTGCTTGGTGCGCGAACGTGCAGCAGCGGCTTCAACCGAGGGAAGTGACCCAGATGCAGTATCCGGTGCGTCATAATGAGATCAACTCGAAGCCGACGATATGACGGGGTCTAAAGCCCTAG